ATACTGAGAATTTATGCTACTAAGAGTGTCACCTCAAAGGTTGTGTGATGCACTTTGTTTTGACAACTCTTTCCGTGCTCTTAAGCATGGTTCCTTGATTGGTCAGTTGAACTAGTTAGACTTTTTATGCAGTGTACAGTTTTACTACTATAATTATTTTAAAAAGTATTCACTGCATCTAAATTTGCACATGCTTCAAAGAATTTGAACATACATCCTTTCAAAGAATGTTTTTTTTTAGCTGGTGTTGTCAATACTTGGATGTGTTGTGTGTGTGTGAGGCTTTCCAAAACTGAAAATGAGTAGACATGAGTTGAACCTGTGATAGCACACCTTTAATTTGGAGAAGCAATCCTTGGTCAAACACTTCTACTTACTAACGACTGGCTTGTGGTTCTTGCCAATACTTGTAGATATACGTATGAGGGAGAGGGGACTAGAAGGGTTTGGGAGGGAGTAAGGAATGGGTGGAGACTCGTGTGGAGTATAAACACCAGTATGCACTTGTTGGGTTAAATGGCCTGATTCTATGTTGTACATCCATGTTAGAATGTCCCTCCGAGGAGAGAATATGAGTTCCATTCCAGATAAAGGGATATTTCCACATGTAGGTGGTAATTATTATGTAGAACTCTGTCCAGTTTAGGTAGTCTTAAACATGGCAACGGGATTCCACATGTGCCAAATGCCCAGCTAACACAAACCTGAATTCATATTTGTATTTAAAATGCACTAGGATGAATACATGAAGGAAAAAGGTGTGGTTAATGAGGAATGGGATTAGAGAAGTTGGCTCCAGTGGGGAAGACAGCACTTAAATATCTCCTTCTGTACTATAAACTTTCTAGGACATTCTGTGACCATCTAGGGACCATGTGCCATCTAGGCCTGGCTACAATTCAATAAAATATTGAACCTGGAACACACACAGAGTCTCCAGACAAAATGAAAAAAAATGTAAATCAGCATGAACATTTTTGTGGGTCTATAAATCCCTGTATAAATGCTGAACCTAAAATGGATGGATTAAATTGCTAGTCTTAGATTCTTTGTGTAAAAGGTTATTGGTAGAAATACAGCAGTTTGCAAAATGGAGAAAGCAGGAAACTTATACAATTGACACTGAGTTTCAATGCTCCTTTTATTCAGATTCCTTGCTATATCCTTGTCCAAGGCCTATTTGCCATTAGAAATAATTAGTTACATTGCTGTCTAATTCACTTGTACTTGAGTAAAAAATGCACTGTAATCTTTTACAACGCTCAGTTTTAAAAATACAAATCATAGGACAATTTGTTGTATTTTCAAAAGTATGCTTATTGTATTTTATGATGCCATTCATTAAACATTAACCTAGTAAAGAATTATATTAAAAAATAGGTTTAATGGCGCACTATATTCCTTTGTGGTTTGGTTTTATTGCAGCACCACTCACTGCAAATGATAAATTACTACAGCATTCTGAGTTGTGGGTTTAAGATAATACATTTTTTCACAATAATACCTAATTTGTACCACTGGGAGAGATTACTTATAGCTTGACGAGAAGGAGAGTCTTTTGGATTTTCAGATTCAATCATTCTTCCATGGGGCCTGAGGAGAGCTCCAGGTATGTGACTAAGAGTACATGTATAGCTCCAAAAATTGACAAGGTTTTAATGTTACACAAGAGCAATGAGTATGAAAATCGTATTCTGCAGCAGGTGCGCTCTGCCGAATGCCAGCCCGACATCCTGGCAGACAACTTTCATAAGGGCTCCAGTGAGAATCATAATAATGAATTGTTGTTGAAATAAAGTCCAGCATAAATTAGACATAAAATACTGTCAACTCCAAAACATGAAAACTATTTATATGACCCAAATTTGGTTGTACATTGGTGTATCTGGGATTCACAGAATCACAGAATGTTATGCCACAGAAACAGGTCATTCACTGGTGTCTATTACCGCAGCAGATCTCTTACAGTGCCTTTGTTCTGCTGTGATCCATCCTTCAGATGAGATGTTAAACCGAAGTCCCATCTGCCTATTCAGATGGGTGTTAAAGATCCCGTTGGCACTATTCGAAAAGAGAAGGGAGTTTCTTCCAGTGTCCTGGCCAACTATCTCCCAAATAAAATTGTTCATTCATGCAATGGCTGTTCGTAGGATAGTGCTGTACACAATTTTGCTGCTGCTTTCTCCCACAAAATACAGTCACTTCACTTTATAATGTATCATGTCAAGCACTTTCGGACATCCTCGAATCATGACCCATGACATAAACACTGGGTAGATACTGATATCTAACAGAGGACATTCCTGTAGATTTCAGGAATGTGAACAGTGATGTCGAAATTCTATTTGGCTGAATAGCTCATCAGTCTGACAGGGAGCACTCTGTGCTCTCTCCTGTTCCTTCACTTGGATGAGGAGTTCAGGAATGATTGTCCTCGCCTGATAAGTTGATTGTTCTGTAGGGTTATTGTGCAACTGCAGCAACCAGTATCTCGTGAATTTTAAACAGATAGAATGGCAGAATATCTCCAACAAGCCCACTCAAAATAAAATATGCACATCTTTATTTAGGAAACCTGTAATTCTTGTCAAGCTGTTTTCACTGGCATGTGTCATTTTACACCTAAAATATTTACAAATGAGAAGAACATCCTAAGATGATGATGTTGACATTATTAATAATCTTACATTTGGTATAACGCCTTTCACATTAGGAGACATCCAAAGCACTTTGCAGGTTACACTGTAAGCTAAATGACTGTGTGTTTTGTTGGCAAACACAGTTTGGTGGAAAATAACACTTTCATTGGATGGAGAGACCCTAAATAATGTAGAAATATTTTTTTCTCTGAAAATTCACCCTTTTTATTGGATGTTATGACCTGAATATTATGTTCAGAGCCCGGATAGTTGAGTTGAGATAGTTCAGCAATTTCCAAGCATGAGCGGTGGAGCAATATACACACTATTTTATGGTTACTTTTTTTTGGAAACCTTGCAGATTTTTAGAAATATAAAGAAAACAATCTTGTTTTGCATGATGTCTAAATTTGGTCTTTAGCTATTTGATGGATGTGCTGAACACATTGTACCTGGTACTGAGCAGTGCTACAGGAGATAGCACCTTCCTCAGTGACTGTGTAAAATAAGCAGTTGTGGTTACAGAACCATAGCCCAATTTAACAAGAGCACCTTTAACTTGCTTGCAGTTAAACAAACCCACACAGTAATTTGGTGAACATTATTGTGTTGTGCTGTCACCTCTTAAGAATTTTACTTGTATTCATGAACACAAGAGTATTTATTTTATGACTTAATGAACTGGATAGGGGAGAATTAAACAAAAGATTTGTTAGTGTTAAGCAAAACATACTAATAAAAATGTACTGAGACAGGATGTTACTAAGATACCAGCAACTCCCTATGATAATGTTGGCTCGCTCCATGTGCAGGTTGTGAAGTCTGATTGAGCTGCTGTATAGAATACCTTCCGACAGCACACTGCAAATTAATTTTGGGCAGGGTGGGTTGCAAAAGTGAGAGATTGGCAGAGCTTTTGTCACTGAATGGAATCTTGAAGTGTTCAGCATCATTCATTAACAATGGTTGTGGAGAACAACAATAAGTTATATTTATATCACATCTTTCATGAGGAAGGACATCTCAGAATTTCACACAGCTGACTGGGAGCTCAAGTTCTGGGGGGAACTGTGGAAGGGGGGGCAGGGGGAAGTGGTCAAAAGCATAGCTCTTCAAGCCAGTTTTGAAGGTGGGAAGAGTGTGATGCAATTCTATAGATTAAGCAATTCTATAGATTAAGCAATTCTATAGATTAAGCGCAAAGTTTGCAGAGGTAGCATAGGGCGGAGATATAAAAGAATTTGAAAGTATAGACGAGGATCATGAATTGGATCCATTGGCAGATGGGAAGCCAATGGAGTCGAGCGAGGATGGTGGTGATTAACTCGGAGAGCCTCGCCTTAGGAGAGGACATGCCCTTTTTATTCTAGAGCAATTGATCAATATTTTGCTAAATGTAATAATTGTTGAAAACTTACTGAAAACAATGGTACCAATACTGAGTTCAGACATGCTCTGTGAAATCCTCTGGTTTGACAGTAATGGAGAGAGACACAGAACAACCCTTAAAATATAACTGTTTGTCCGTTGGAATCTTCCGAGCAGCTGAAGACTATGCAAGACTCATCTAGGTCCAAGTATATGATGTTCATGTATTTCCACAATACAGTATTTCCAAAAGATGATCTCCTTTAATGCAAAGGTGTGTATCAGTGCAGACCATCTAAAATTAAGCAAAACTGGGTGAAGAACTCAATTTAATTATTAAATACTCAACAGAAAATAACTGTGTCAACTGACAACCTTGAGATCTCTGCAGAAAATGTGCCATTTTGTATTCCTTTAGGATATTTTACATTTAGACATCATAAGCACACAAAAACAAAGACCATTTTTCAATACTGTACTTGCCATTAATAATCACCAGATGCCTAAGGGTACTTGAGATTTAACTGGCCATTGTGATTACAGGTTACATTACAACATAATAGTGCATTTGTTTAAAAGTTGCTTTCACACTCTGTGTCCTTTAAAATCACAATTTAAATATGATCCCATTCAACACTGCCACTTAAACAGATCAAACAGAGCTAAAGTCATTTTGCCTTTACTGCAGATTTTATAAGTGTTGTTCAAAAACAAGAGATCACAATCTGTCCTCCATTCTTGTTGTCGGTTATTTTAACGCTTCAAGACTCAATCCTGCATGAAGGCGTTTTTTAAATGCAAGTTATTGTATTTCATAACAAATGGAAAGAAATTGCTGATGTCATTCACTTTCCAAGATAGAGTAAAATAAACCTCATGACTGCTCACTAAATGTTGGTATGTTTAAATAATTGACTGTCTTTGTAAGAGTCTGTGCTTCAGTCTAAATGTGACCTGGGTACTTCTAATTTTGCTTTGTTCTCGTATATACAGATCCTCATATTAAAGTTGCTGGAAAGAAAGAAAACGTGAAGGAAGCAAAAGAAAAAATTATGTCGGTCCTTGACACAAAAGTAAGAGATGAGAAATGTAATCTCTCCTGAAGCTACTTGCTCATTTTCTGTCTGCAGGGTCGTTTTGTGAAGGGCTTGTGTAGTGTGTAATAATATAATAATCCTTACATATGATATTGTGCATTATCACATTGTCAAAACATCACAAGGAGCTTCACTGGATTTTGCTGTAGAGTCTAGTGACTATGTATCTGTACTAATGAAAGTATGAAACCTAAAATTGATTCCATTGTCCTTGTTAGTGTAATGCATTTCTACTTTAATCGTAGACAAGATTAAGTATAAAGTGCCCTCAGATAAGTGATGTCATGTTTGTGGCCAGAGTAAATAGATCACAAGATTAATTTGAATGAAGAAGTCTATCTTCGGTCTATCCAATCCATTAAAATGTCTGGGTTTGAACTTGTTTTGTCAGTCCAGTTACTCTGTTTTTGAACAATTTTTCCCATAAATATGTTGATAACTCTGTACCTACTGTAATTCTCAGCCACTAAATCGTATGCCTTTTTATTGTTTCAGTTTAAAACCCAACAAATTACACCAGTTTATTAGTTACAAGTTGCCCTTTGAGCACATAAAAATATAGCCCCAATGGGAAACTGTGGAACATCTGGCTGATATACCTGTATCTTGTAGCCAATATAATGTTGGAGGTCATTTAACCAACATCATGTAACGCATGTAAAGATGATTGTCAGCTTTGTGTTGTAAAGCACATTATTACCAAGTGTTTTAAGAGTAAAAACAAACCTTTTACTTTGTGGTCCAGAAATGAAGCAGTTCTCTCATTGCTCAGCTTGAAATAGAATGCACAATCCTTTGCATTTCCAGAGCATAGGCTAGAGCAGGAAATCGTATTCCAAGGGTGAGCACTTGTGCATTTGGTGAGCTGATGAATTGGATTTGTGATTTTCTTTCACCCGAGAATGTGGATTATGGGCCTTGCTGAACAGTCATTTGTTTATTTATTTACAGGAGTCCTGTAGTTCAGTGGTTAGAGCACTTACCTTGCAAGCGAGAGACCTGGGTTCAATTCCAGGCAGGGCGAAACCTTGGGCAAGTTTCCTTACTCCACACGCCTAATAATAATCCCTTCAAAACAAAAAAAATAATAAATTGGTCATTTTCAATCCACGACTGTTTGTGGGACACTGCTGTGCGCAATTGGCTGCATGTTTCTCCCACAAATATATGGTCAATTCACTTTACAGTATATTCTGTGAAGTGCTTTGAGACGTCTAGAAGACGTGAAAAGTGCTTTATCAAATGCAAGGATTATTATTATTATTATTACAATATTGATTCAGGGAACCTTTTGGGCCAAGCTGATTTATCTACTGTTCCTCATTTCCATCAATGACCTTATAGATTCAATTAAAATCCCTTACCCTTTTCCTAATCACACCATCCACTCCTCTTGAAAGATGAGCAGTAACAGAATGGTTTTGAAATACATAGCAAATTGTAACCAACAACCACTGGGGATAGAGCAGAAAGCTCCAGTGCCAGAATTAGTACCAGCAAACATTCTACAATTCTAATATCCCACAAACAAACCCAAGGAAGACTTAATATGAACAGCAATTCTTTATGAAGATGAAATCGGTGCCTCTGTGCACCCTCTTACTAACCTCTCATACGTTTCCCACCTGTATTTTATTATGAAATAATTTTAATTGATTTTACTCATGACCAATAATCTTTAACATTTTAAAATCAAGTGTCCATAATTGTCCTTTGGATTTTATGACATCTGTAGCAAATAAAAAGTGAATGGTGTTGTTAACAATAAGTTCTTTTGTAACCAATGGTTTAACTAACCATTACTTTCTTTGGTACTCGAATATGCAGTGATTTCTATCTGTATTCCTTTAAAATAAGTGATGTATTGGCATGATGTATTTCAGAATTTCTTATTAAGAAATCCCATTGGAAATCAGTGCATTTTAGATCACATTAGATTTAAGGACAATCCTAAAATAATTTAATACAAAACAACCTTAAACCCACTGAGTGCTCCTAAACTGTTTAATCTGTGCAAGCTCAAGGAGCTGCAGCTTTCGGTTCCTGACCTGATTTGCCCTATAGATCACGATGCAGAGATACTTGGCACATGTCTTACAGCCTGGGACCCTGTGACTTGAGACCAGCCAGCAGTAGCCATCACTGAGCAAAAAAAAACAATTCTCTGAAGGCCGCAAAAATTTTTTTTATATAGTGTTTGTGAAAATGGAATTGCTTAACTCCTTTATTATTGGTCTTTCTGCATGAGTTTATATGAGTTTTTCTTTGATATATCCAACGCTTAACATTGCTTTTTTAACGTGCTCTCCTGATGTGGATGGGGCGAGCTGAAGGGAGCAGGCCTGTAAATCTTTTTGTGACTCTTAATATCCTGGTAATGATCCTGCTTTGAAGCCTTGAAAATTCTGATGCTTGTGTAAAGTGGAAGATCAGCCATGAGATCAAAGTCAATGCAGGAGCCTCCCTAAACTGACAGGGAATCCAGACATTCTTTCCTCACACCCCCAGCAAGGCTGCCAGGAACACAAACAGCATGCCAGTCAGTAGTTCACCCAGGATCAACAGTAACAAAAAAGCCAAATTTTGTTTTTGTTTTAATTACCTCTTATCCATGTGGCTCTGGGCCATTGCCTGCCACCAGGATGGCTGGAACCATATGATGGGATGTTGTATAATGTCATTTTCCACTTTATTTTATCCCCGCTCTTTGGAACTCCCAGTCCCTCCGACTCACCTCTCCCTCCCCACATTCAAAACCTGCCTCAACATTTACCTCTTTGACTGTGCTTTCAGTTAGTTCCAGCTCCACCCCAGCCCCCACTCGAGTGCCCAGCCAGCTGTGTCGGGTGCTTTGAGTCATCCTCCCATCGTTAATGTAAATTATATTGTATATTTGTATTATTTTTTGTAGGAACAGGCACAGTAAAATTGTTTTGTTCTGCAAATTCTGCATTTTGAGTTCTGTTCAGCTAGGTCTCTGTAACACTGATTCTACCTTGATGTCATGGAACTTTAAATTATTTCAGAGAACACAAAACCTTTGACTTCTAATTTTCTCTACATTTCATTACATGGAACAAGATTACTACAAACTATTGCTGAATTATTTATTCTGACTGACTTTCCCATGGTCTCAGAAGAAAGTGGGTTGTATTCTGACCCCTGATAGCAAGAGGTACTTTCAACAAATAATTTGGGAGAGTGACCATTTTCTTGCCGGCTTTTATACAGCACATGTACTTTCCACTTTCCCTTTAATTTTATCAGAGACAAAACCTGTTTTTTTATCACTATTACTACAGTCTTCAAAGAGTTAAGTTAAGCTGTGCTGAACATAGAGATAGATTTCAACCAAAACAAAAGGCTCACTTACAGTCCATACTGCTCTTGTCAAGCTAATTAAAGCAACTACTGCTATAATAAGTAGTGGTTCCAATACTCTGCTACTTGACCTGATGTCTGGCTTTCCTGTTTAAACAATGAAAGATTAGTATTCACAGTCAATGTGTGTTCTGTAATGAGGAAAAATGTAAAGGAATTGGTGACCTGAGGAGGACTGACATAAGTGATGATGAAATTACATTAATTTTTCCCTCTTCAATTAGAGTAACCGGGTAACTCTGAAGATGGATGTGTCACACACAGAACACTCCCATGTAATTGGTAAAGGAGGAAACAACATTAAAAAGGTTATGGAAGAAACAGGGTGTCACATTCATTTTCCCGACTCCAATAGGAACAACCAGACTGAGAAAAGCAATCAGGTAATTCAGTGTTGATTTCTAATTCCATAATAAATATTGTGTTGGTTAGATTGAAGAATAGTAAATCAAATAAAAACTAATTTCCTTGTATTTGCTATGGTGCTTATCACATCATCAAAATGTCTTGAAGTGCTTCATAGGATTTGTTGTAGTGTTCATTTGAACAGGCAAATGGGCCCTCGGTTTAACGTCTCATCCAAAGGGAGCCACCTCTAACAGTGCAATCACCCCACCCCACAGCACTGCATTGGAGTGTCAACTTAGACTATGTGATTCCAGGTTCTGATCTCCGGCTTGAACCCAAAACCTTGTAACTCAGAGAGGCTAGAGTACTACGCTAGGCTGACACTTGTTTTTTGTGAGCAGGATGCTTTGTGATATAATTAAAATTAGTTATAATAATAATAAATTACATTACATTTGGTATGGAAGTGCCTTTCCTATTGAGAGGACATCTCAAAGTGCTTCACAGAATATACTTTAAAGTGCAGTCAATGACTGTATATTTTGATGGTAAACTTGTGGTTATAGGAGATGAGAGACTGTGAACACTACTGTACCACTTTCTGTTTCTCTTATTCCTAAAATAGAATTATTCCTGTTTGGTAAATGTTTGCAAGGGGTTTCTGTTTTCTCACACTTGTTCATACTGAGAGCAAACTCTCACTATAGCTTATTGATCACTCAGCGTGAGCATCTTATCTTCATTCTGATTTTGTAATTTCTGGCTTTTCACAGGCTTTTCACAATACTGATGCAGATTTTGTTTAACTTTTACTTTGGATGCAGATGTTTTCCATGATCTACAGTTTGCTCCAATGGATATCCATTGATGTAATTCAAGCAGGCCTTTTGTAATTCTCCATTTGTAACTCATGTTTTGATGCCCTGACAATAAGTTGGTCATGTTGCAGCATAGCAGTTTGGCTCAGGTTTACCCTTCATATGAACTAGTTAGAGCTATAGCTTTTGTTGGAGTAGTGAATGTATTGGCCTCCAGGACCTATTGGTTTAAAGTACTGAAGCCAAAATAAAATATGATTCTGTACAAATATATTGAATGCACCTGATTGATATCAATTGATGTATGTCTCAGTTTGATTCAGCAGCTGGTATGAGAAGCAAGTTGAGTGGATCAACAAAAAAGAACTGATTTTTAGCCAAGAATTACATTACATGACAAGGCTGTAATGAGCTCATGTTTCTTTAAAATCTTCATGAGGGTGTGTGTGTGTGGGGGGGGGGTGGAGGCTGATGGGAGAAGCATGGTGCCGTGACTAAACATAATGAATGAATAACCTTTAAGGACAAGATCAGGGTCTTCATTTCTTTTTCGTATTAATTTGTTACCATGGATACTCCTGGGTTTCATCTTATAAAAGACATCTGTGTGTGTACGTTTGTGATTGTTTTAATTTAGCTGCTATGTAATTAGTAAGTAGGTGATTAAGGTCTAGACTGTACTGCAATACCATTGGCTCAAAGCACAAGAAGATTAATGAAGTCAAAAGCTGCCAACTTGCTACCTTAGATTACACTAAGTGAAAGGGATGAAACAAATGTCTTATTGTTTGATTTTAAGTATCAATGTGCTCCACAGTAATATTAAGAAGTAGAGATGAGAATTAAACCAAGCAGCTCCGGAACACTTGAGTTCATTGTGAACTAACCTGCAGTTTTCCCCTGAGCCATCATTCCCTTTACTTCAGGAGACTTGAACAGATCCAATAACCTTCGATCACTCCTCAGTAGTCCAAAAAGCTGCTGAAAAAATGGTGCCTGCTATAGCTTATTTGTGACGCAACTTAGTGGGAATGCATTTGGTGTGCAAGGATATTTCATCCACTGAACAAAGGGCAGAGGTTATTTAACTGGTTCGAAATGGCCAGATTTGGCAACAGGCTGAAAAAAAATAAGAGATTTTTCTGACAATGGGTGAAATAACTGTAGCAATTTCATCATCGGGCATCTTTTGTGACTACTTAATAATATTGTTCGTAACTTTCCAATAACACAATTAAAAGATCTTTATTGTTAGTGAATGATTTAGCCCAATGATATTCTGACAAATAACTTTCTTACTCTCAAAGTGGAGAAATCCCACCTGGGGTTAGATTTACTCTATTTGTGTAGAATAGAGTGTCCTGAATTTGGTAAAGTATTCAATTTATTAACAACTTTGACGTTGGCTATCTGCGGTTCTTGAAAGATTGTAGAGAAAACCAGCTTCAAAATTAATGCTGTATTTAAGAATTTCCCAAATTCTGGATGCTGGTAAATGCTTCCTGAATACAGTAAATCTAGATCCAGGTGGAATTTCTTTCTATTAATGAATAACCTTTAAGGACGAAATCAGCCTTTTCTATTACATTATTTGCCCAGTGTTACAAATAAATAATAGATGTCATCCACATCTCTTAATTTCAAAATCTATCCTTTGATCTGATGCCAAATGGTGCAATATGGGTTCAAGTCAAGAATTGGATGAATTGAAGTTTAATGATGGGGAAAGAGTTCATAGACTAACACAAAAATCTTTAGATGCCCATAAATAATGAAAGCATGGGCCAAACGGAGGCAGGTGAAAGTTTCGTTTTGTGTCATTTTTATACTGTTCATTGGATTCAAAATCCCTCCACTGTGCTTCAAATCTCCATTTCACTACAGTTTGAATCTGCTTTATTCAACAGGTCTCCATAGCAGGTCAGCCATCTGGTGTAGAAGCAGCAAGAGTTCGTATTAGAGTAAGTTTCTGCATGGGGATTTTAACATAATTCCTGAAGTTGTTTAGCCACTGACAGGAACTCTCCCATCTCATGTTATTTATATATATCAGGATATTGGGTTCTTCATCCAACTCCTTAGAAACTTTCATAGATTTGTAACATAGCTGCAATGGCATGAATGCATGGCGAACACATTATACTAGGTTCAAGTATTTTAGTATTTTAAAAGAAAAACATTTAAATTTTAAGGGAATTTTTCTTTGTAAAAGTAAGTCACGTAGAAAATATGAGACAAGACCATGCATACTTAGTCAGGTAACTGCAGATGTCATTGTGCAGCGCTCAACAACAGCAACAACAAAATTACATTTATAGAGTGCCTTTCACATCGGGAGGACATCCCAAGGCGCTGAACAGTCAGGTGTCGGAGCCTGAGCATGGGGGAGAGGTGGTGTAGGGGTGAGGGAAGGCAGAGAGGTGGGAGGGGGACCAAAGGCACGATCGAAGAGACCGGCCTTGAAAGAGGCAAGGGAGGAAGTGAGGCGGAGGGACCATGGGATGGAGTTCCAGATTGTGGGGGCAGAGAGGCTGAAAGCCCGGCCACCAATGTTAGGGTGGGTCGGGCGGGAAACATGAATAGCATCAGTTATAACATCAGTTACAAAATGGCATTTTTTTAGTGCATGAGAAGGTGTCTGGCAATTCTAAGCAGGGCGCCACAATTTGAAGCAAGCTAGCTGGTTTTCTGTGCATATAATGGATTTTTGGGGGGTAACTAAATGTCAGGGTCTAACACCCCAATTGCATAGTTGTGAACTCAAGGGTTCAAATGCTGTTGGCATTTAGGATCTGTTTATTTCTGAGATGGCTGCTTCAATATTCACCTGTTTCATTGTTTCTTTTCTTTTATTACCAAGACTATTTTTCTGTAACTAATATTCTTGTGCCTAGGAGCTTCTGCCTCTGGTGATGATGTTTGATTTACCAATAGCTGGTATCTTGCAGCCAATTCCAGACCCCAACTCACCCACAATTCAGCACATATCTCAGACCTATAACATATCTGTGTCATTCAAACAGCGGTCACGTATGTATGGTGCTACGGTCATTGTCAGAGGTTCTCAGAACAATGCTGCAGCTGTCAAGGTGAGAACATTCCCAGAAGTCATGAAAATACATGATTGTTTCATCTTTAGTACAAAGGTCTTTTAAACAAATATCTGGTAATCCTTTTGAAACATTTAATTTAGAAAATAATAAATTTTTTCAGCAATTCATTACATATTTTTTTTGGAGGAGGCAGCGTGAGGAAAATATCATTAAAAGATTTTTCTTTCTTATGCCATGCACTGTCCCTGCTTTCTGCCTATTCTGCATCATAACTAGCCACAGAGACATGTGGAAACACAGGCCGTGAGAGACTCTCCTATTTAATTGTTCAATGTAATGTTTGTCAGAGTGTAAGTGAATTTTCAGGTACAGTATAATGAAATGCAGAGTAAAAATCCCTCCACTCTATCCCAGGAGATGTGTGTGTGTTTTTTTCTGTAACCTTCTCTTCCCAGTCATCTTAGTATCTGACCTTTAATGTGGAGCACTAGTAAGCAGTTGAGTGCATTGGAACTGCACTTGCAAGTACCAACATTTTGGCTGCATTGCCCCTAAATTTCTTTCATTTAAGACACTTAAAGCTGGGGGAGAGGAGGCTTAATTTTTATTCCATGTCTTGGGGGCTGGATTCAATATCAAAAGGTTAAAGTATGATGTTGAAAGTCACTGCACCACTCAGTCCTTTTAAAAGATGAGCCATCTCCGTCAGCATATTGAATGTTGAATGAAAAGTGTAATCTTCCTGTTTCGTTCTAGGAAGGAACTGCCATGCTGCTGGAACACTTGGCTGGCAGTCTAGGCAGTGCTATCCCTGTCAGCACACAACTGGACATTGCACCTCAACACCATCTCTTCATGATGGGCCGCAATGGCAGCAATATTAAGCACATAATGCAGAGGACAGGTGCCCAGATCCATTTTCCTGATCCCAGCAATCCCCAGAAAAAGTCCACGGTCTACCTCCAGGGCACCATAGAGTCTGTCTGCTTAGCGAGGCAGTACCTCATGGTAAGCATGAACATTCTACAACTTTTTGGCTAGTCCACAGTAATATGGAAATTAGTTTTATTCTATAATTATAATGGCAATAATTGTAGTTGTTGTCAAAAGCTTGGAATGTTTGCAATGATCTAGGGATGCTGTATTTCAGGGTTGCCTCCCTCTTGTGTTGATGTTTGATATGAAGGAAGACATTGAAGTAGAACCACATCAAATTACCCAATTGATGGAGCAGTCAGATGTCTTCATTAGCATCAAGCCAAAGCCGAAACAGCCCAGTAAGGTAAGGAACACAAATGAATCTGCTGCAGTATTTGAGTCAATGTCTGTTAACTCTTTGGGTTCTCAGGGGAGTGTGAAGATTAAATTCAACAAGCCAAACGTATTGAATGGATTTTGTGTTCTTAAAAATTTAATGAATTAAAACAAATGTCTGCAGGATGTATGTAAAAAATTGAGACATAGTTGAGTTTCGTATACATGCTAATCAAGTTTAAAGATTTCTGTTGTGATAGAGCAGCTGTACATAGACACCTCTGCAATGCTCTTGACACTTATCAGTGACCGAACTGTCCTTTTTGAGAGTGTCTGTGTGTTCCTGATTTCAATCAAATAATAGGTAGTAGCATTTCGTTCATGGCATTCCTATTATTGATTGAAATTTTGAACCATTCAGCATTGTCGCCAGTGATTTACTGAATTTTGGAGTTGAAGAGGAGCTAGATCAAGATGTTTTTATGATCAATATTTAGCCAATGAATCACTGGTAAGATATGTAGGGATCATATTTATCAAAGACAAGGATGATTATTATTATTAATTACACACAAGCAGTTTTAATTAACATTGTTATAATGTTTGAATCAATAAAATCCCCCCCCCCTCCCCACCCTAACTCCACAAAAGTAAAAGCTTAGAGGAGAATAAATCAGACATTTTGCATGTAAACATTTTACTACTGGAAGTGACAACAGTGTTTTCAGTCATAGAAAGTGGGCATGTATACTATGCTGCCCCACAGCAAGATCCACAATTTGTTATATAATTGTTGTGTGTTTTAAAACATCTGTTAGAAAAGTAATTGGCATACAGTCTTTACAGTCTGGTAGATTTCTTTACAACATTGGATGAGTTTGAGGTGAATATAACAAAATGGCTTTGTAATAGTATTGGTTTCCTTTGTCCCATTTTCTATATCCCAATGACAATAGAATTGGGAACACTTCTGAGTAGAATGTCCCAAACATTCAAAACTCTTGTATTATTGTAGATATTTGGAAATGTAAATGAGATTTAGATGACAAAACAGCTATTTTTCTTCTGACAGAATTAATTTTGCAATTGAAGGACAAGCAAATTTGTAGTTTTGCAATAATGTGGTTCAGTTTTAGAATGATATAGAAGTGAATTTAACTGCTTACCAAATGTATATCTTTGATTTATAATTGAAACTATGAGCAGCAGAGATTTATATCTACACAGCTGTGTAGTAATACTAGCTAAATGATCCTAATCTGTGTACTTGGTTCACTTACCGCAAGCTTGTTTCAGATGCAAACCATTCCTCTCAGTCGGTACAGAGCCAATGTATATTTTGTTGTCTGTTGTTAGTTCACGTAATATTATTAGAATATCAAACGTAGCTGGTAGAATTACTTTACCAATCAGGTTGCAAAGCTAGAAATTTTATTTTTCTATTCTAAATTCAATAAGATCTTCAAGTCTGACATTATGCTTGCATTTTCAAACTGCTACAGAATTAAATGCAATTATCTGTTATATATGGACAATTGTGTTAGGTTTGTTATCTGTACATGATGGTTCATGCCCTGAACGCCAATAAGCTATTCTAAAGGTTCACTTGAAAGTTTTTTTTCCCCATTTGCTGTAAAGCAAAGCCTGTCTGACAATTTCAGTTTGTTTGTAAGACATTTCTGTCTCAAAAGTAAAATATTATTGTAGATATAATTTACTCCAACAGTGCAATCAATTGAAAAATGCCTTCTGAACAATTTTGAAATGCTGAATTATTGCAGAAAGGTTTCAATGGATCCATGTTACTTCCTTCATCAGGCTTGCTGAGATTGGGAGCAGCCACTTAAAGATTAGCACATGTGAATTCATAACCTACTGCTTTGTTGCAGTGAAACCTAATTATATATAAAGAAAAGCATGCTCCTTCTTTAGTGTTCCTTGTTTATCTATGTCAAAAACTAACCAATGGAAACCATCAGTTAAATTTAATAGAACATCAGACAAATACATGAGGAAAATTAATATTAAGAGCCAATAGATAAGACCAGGTGATTGGGATTATAGTGGCGCCTTGGGATGTCCTCTCGACATGAAAGGCGCTATACAAATGTAATTTTGTTGTTGTTGTTGTAATAGGAGCAAGCCACAGCAGAGGCTTGAGTTGAAGGACCTTCTTTTGTGCTGTAAGCATGCTATGATTCTAAGACCTAAACATTTCTCTCTTTTCTGTCAGTCAGTGATTGTGAAAAGTGTTGAAAGAAATGCATTAAATATGTATGAAGCAAGAAAGTGTCTGCTTGGCTTGGAAACTAGTGGTGTTACTCTCACAACAAATGCACCGTCTGCAGTTACCTGCCCCATTGGACTGTCGTGTCATGGACTTGATATCCTGGCTTCAGCTGGACTTGGCCTAACTGGACTAGGTAGGAAGATCCTGTACATCTTGCAGCATTTCTACAATAAGGTTTATTTCATTGGCTGATTGTTTTGTTCCAATCCTTCAAACTCTACAGAATTAATATACAAATGGAAGATTTCCAAACGTCATAATATGACCCTTCTGTGTTCACGATATCCATATTTTAAACAACACTGTCACAACAGTGCATTTGAAAGCAAATCACATTATTTGTGCTAAATAATTATTTAAAGCTTCTCTGCTTGCTGATCTTTAAAAAAATATCTGTTATTTGCTAAAATAGAATCTTTCAGGATATTTCAAAGATTAATTCCAAATCCGATTAATCCAAAGAGTAACTCATCTAAACCACAAGCTTTTAACGAAATCAAGCCAAACCCACTGATCCTTATTTTAATTAAAAAAGTATGTGTATGAAAATGTTATATCTATGTCCAAGGGAAGAATGTGCTGCACTCCCATGCACTGGGCATGAAGACAAAACTACATTTGGAATCTGATTGAAATTCACACACACACACACACACTCGCTCGCTCGCTCATTGACTGACTGACTGACTGACTGACTTATGGTTATGTGGTGTGTGAAACCTGGACTCTCACAGTAACGGTCTCCTGGATTTGTGCACAAGTAAAAATACCGTAGCTTCAGGATCGAAATAAATGTTACATACTGCAAAAGTACCCAGAAACAGCTATTGTGTTCAAAACAAGAGTCCAGCAACTGTGCAGCAGGAATTTGACTAAAAATAAGTGTTTTAAATGTTGCAGTGAGGGGAAGGCGACTGTTTCATTTCCCTTGGTGGCTGCAGATATTCGGTCATTCATACACAAAATTGTTATTCCTTTCTTAGCTGGATGAAATGTTAATTCATTTCCTCATGGATGCACATCAGTACCCAGGAGGGAATTGATTTTTTTAAAAAATATGTGTTAGGTACAAGGCTGTCACAGAAACAGAAAGCTATCATTATACGAATTTAGTCAGTTTGGATAACATGTTATTTATCAATGCTATCTTTGTGTTGGATTTGTGTTTTTTGTAACTGAAATCTACTATTTTTATTTTAAAAATAATTGTAATTTTTTATATAAATGTTTATTGCTAGTAATTTGTGCAGTTGCCAAAGAGAACGGAATCACTCATTTAAAAAAAAACTGGCATAAAATTAAATTGTAAATAACTTATTAAATTTACAGGCTTCTCCACAGTATCACCCCTTATGATCCCACCTGCAACACAGGCAACTTTAACTAACATCCTACTGTCAAGTTTGCATGGCTATGGCCAGAACACACCATCTCCGCCCCCTGGCCTGGCACCAATGGATATTCAGATCAGCACTTTAACACCAGAGAGCAACAAGATTCCGACATCCTGCCTCAATGGCCACGTCAAGGTAAAAGGAATGTATGCGGAGCTAGCGGTTTCATGATAGGAACGGACCGAATGCCACAGTTTGGGTCATGCTGGATGATTTAAAATAACAGCCACATTCCTCATGAACAGGCTGTGTACAGCTCATTGGGAATTATTCAACATAAGAAAATCTTTTTAAAGATCTCACATCAGGGATTAATAGAAACGTTTTGGCTTCGAGAATTGCTGTGAGATGAACATTATTTTTGCTTTTATATTTGATCTTTTTGATGGAATGTTTTAAGAAAAAGGACAGTTTTGCCTTGTATTCAAACAACTTTTAAGCTGACAATTTATCTACCTTTTCTTTCAGACAATATCTGTAATAGTTACTTTCCTTTAAGGTTATTATAGTTTGCTCTGCTGAATCCAGTGAACATATTTTTATTGACATTATCAGCCCTGTGTTATTTCACCCAAATGAGATATGTCCAAAGAATATCTGGAATGAGATATATCCAAAGAAGATAGCTTATTAGTTTTCTGAGACTTAACATAAATGTTTTATTCTATTTTTGATGCAAAAATGTTAATTTAAAAATCACGAGTTAATCATTTATTATAATGTGTGCAGTAATGTAGTGAAATGAAAAAACTAAAATGGTCTGAGCCAGGGTCAAAATTCTAAAGGGAAAATTCCATTGTTTATAGTGTAGGGAAACCATCATTTCGACAATATCAGCAATAGATCTCCTTGTAGTGGATTAAATATAATCTGCTGGTGGATTTGTTATCTCATGAATACTGGTGACACACAAGATTATCCAGGTTAATCGCAAGAAGAAACACATTGTAGAAAAAAATACATTTTGCTTATATAAGCATTATCAATAGGTTATCCTTGGCACAGGTTAGAAAGTGTGTTTCTCTTGATTGCAGTTGATTAGATTTTCCTATTATAAGGGGCATTACTATGTGTATGAACTACTATCAGTCAAGGATAACTGCAAGGTCAGTGTCTAGTGCTTGTGGGTGAAACATTGAAATGTATTTTGTTTCTGCAGCCCTCAAGTGCTGTTTATACTAGAATATCGACTCCATCTCTCGCAGATACTGTGTTGAGTTCTAACCACTCTGATGACCCCCGAGACAATGCTGCTATCAGCACACAGGAGCAGCTGAACAACAAATCCAGCTCAGCTGAAGGTAAAAGACAAAATCAGAGCCAAATAGGTAATCAGAAGATCTGACAAGATCTCACTAAAAACTGATTTACTCCATTACTTTAGAATTTGAAATTAATTTGTGGCTTAAAATAGTCTTTTTGTCCAATATCATAAATGATAAATGAAAAATTATAATTCAACCATTGTTATAGTGACAATACTATGCAGAAGCTGATTACTTGATTCTTAATTTAAATTAACAACAAAACTGTGCAATTTTTGGTTTGTATCAGATATGATATCATCCAGCAAACTTATAATAATAAGCTTTGAATTTGATATAGCGCCTTATCACGACATCGAGACGTCTCAAAGCTCTTCACAGGATATACTATAAAGTGCAGTGTCTGTGTGTTTTGTGTCAACCTGTCTCGATCGCACATACTCTCGCCTCCGAGCCAGAAGATCGTTTCTAAGCATTTTATCTGAACTTTTTTAATTCAGTGACCTTGGTGCAGGCGCTAACATTTTTTATATGTTGAGCTTAACATGACATTTCTGACAATGTTTTTCTAGGTTCCAATGATGCCTTTGTGGAAGTGGGCATGCCCAGGAGCCCTTCGCATTCAGCCAATAGTAATGAACTGAAGCAAATGCTTAATAGTTCATCCTCATCTGTTGCCAAACGACAGACGTTAGAATTGCTACAGGGCACAAAGAATACCCACCTGCAGTAAGTTCCTTGTACCTAGTCACAGAGCTTGTAGAGGTAGAATGATTTAGAACAGACTTGCTCTTACTGAGATTGATGGAAAGTTCTATACTGTGTTGTGAAGTATGAATGCAGATCTCCTTTTAAATATTCCTGAAAAGAGCTCTATTTTGAATGTTATTTTAAAGAGTTGAATACACCATTTCTCTAATAGTGTATATGTTTTTCCTTTAGCTTTATTGGGCTGTCAGGAACCTTTGAAGGGCCATTATTGAGCAGAAACTGTATCAATTCACTCAATTATCTAGTGGAACAAATACATTTCTTGGTGTTAGTGATAGTGAGAGCTGAGATCCAGAACAAATCATCTCACAATCACAAATATCAAACAAATATGTACTGTATTTTTTCACGTTCATTCAGCATGTGAATTGCAACATAATTCAGGGATTGATTTATTTTGTGACTAATACTGTGCAGACAGCCAAATAAACTTGAATGGCAAGAGATTGTTAGCCTCAAATGATATTAATACAATTGCACAATGCATCATCTTGTTTTATATCTCCAAATGTAACACCTTTTTAATAGATTTTAAAGAATTTTGAATGCGGAATTTTACTTATTGCAGCCATTTGCTGAGCAGTCAAATCCAGAGCAGTATCAGAGGATGTTTAACAGTTGCTATTAATAAGCTCTTGATTTGATTGCTCTCAGTTCGATCCTGCTCATATTCCTCTGACATGACAGCATACATTCAGTATTGGGGAAAGCGACTGAGAAACACTCTTTTAAGTTTTGAAAATATTGACAATTTTGGGCTAGAAATAAATTATCTCACTGTGTTAGGACTACAGTGATAAAGCTGGATAACTTTGTTCACTCTCCCCTTCTCACGTAATCGACCTTCGTCAAACATTCCTGTGGATTTTATTACAGAGAATTGAAATACATAAATCCTTGTCATTTTTATTGGATTTTTCCGTTCCTCCATGCAAAAAGCAAAACAAAATGGAAAATCTATTTTTGCACGCTAAAATCGGGATGTGCATTTCTTTGCAGCACCTCAGATTGCCTACTTTCAGATTCTGAATCCAATCCTACAGAGGGCACAGCCACTGACAAGAGGGCTCCCGGCAGTGAGCGAGCAGCAGAGAGAGCAGCTCAACAGAACTCTGAGCGACTACGACTGACTCCACAGTCAACATATGCAAACATCCAGGTAGTCAAAACCCTTGAATGACCTTTGATGCAGGAAACAAAGAGAACTGTCTGTTATATGATATCAATTTATATTTATTCATCTTTGAAATAATATAGTGGATATATTATCCATAACAGTCGGTAATAATATTCGTAACAATATTGTGCTTGACTACCTCGTATGACTGTTCCTCAGAGTAAACAGATTGACGTGAACTGCATTCACATTTTACAAATCTGCCATGATACTATAGCAGACAGTGTTCGGAGCTTTGCATTGCTCCATCTTCCCCAGTTTAGCTTTGACTACAAGTGGTGGTTGTGGCAGAACAAGCCATGTTCCAGGAACTTGTGTCGTCCATAAGATGCTCTGCAAAAGAACCCATCTCCTTCAAAGGCCTGACACTTTAAAAGATGTTAGTGACCAATTTGTTTTTGAACTTACATCAACCAGAAGAAAGTTTCTTACTAGTTTAGAGGAATCTTTTTGAAGCCCAAACTGCAAATGCTGACTTGAAGCAAAGTTAATGCCACCGGCACATGTTTTTGTAAAGATAAGATTCAGTAGCCAGCATTGACTGCAAGTCATCAGCCCAGGTACTAAACTTTTAAGACTAAGCTAGATTTTTATTTTACCTGACAGTTTGTTAAGTGCTGGAATCTTAATGTTGCCGACTGCGTTGCTGATGATATCAAGTTGACAACCGCACACCTCCATTAATCTGAAAAAGCCTGTCATGAATATAAGCAAATTGCCTGTATTTAAAGATAATTCTTAAGCTTCCATAATATTTCTGCTGCTCAGTGTGGTTACCAAGCTGGCATTGATTCAGGTGATGTGAACGACTTCCAAAGTAAGTCAATCTGTATTTTGCATTTCTAATTAACCAGCATTCAATGAATATTCTAATTTTATCAGTCACTGTTTTAAATCATCTCATTTAGCTGTGCCTAGTTTGCACTGTTAGCAAAACTATGGACTGTAGTTGAGATGTTTTTCAGAGACATTTTATGTTCAATGCCATTTTATTGTATACGGTTGTTAAACCATTATGTCTCCTTTTTATTCTCAGGCTTTTGACTATGAACAGAAGAAGCTGTTAGCAACCAAAGGTATGTGCTGCAACAGTGATCTCTGACCTATTACTATTTGTCAACAGCTGAAGAAAATGATTCTTCCAAGTTATAGCCTAGTAGTTGCTATGAGTTTTGTCAAGGCCGCTGAGTGTGGCTCAAATATACCATCTGTGAATGATGAATTGCCTTTAAGTGTAAATATAAAACGTTGTCTTCAAGCAACACATTTTAAAATTTGGTACAGAATGTACTGAACTCTAATTGGCATCTAAAATTATTAATTGTTTTCATTAATCCCTAGCAATGACCAACACTTAATTCAGTTGGATGGTAAGGGGCCAAAAACATTCCTGACATCTTGAGTCATATGCCAAGGCTATTAAAATGAATTAATTATGTTAAATAGATGCCTGAATGCAGTGTTTAATAGGGTACTAAACGTTTTGGAGGCACATATCGTGAAGTGGTAGAAAGAGCCGTAAGTGTTGAGAGAGATGAAGAAGGATGAGTTTCTGTAGAAATAGTGGAATGTTTAAAAGCCCCATTACAAATGATGGCTCAATGTAAATTGAGAAGGCAGACGTTAGCTGTACCATTACTTAACACACAGCCAGAAGTACTGGACAGAAAGATGTTTTAACTACAATTACATTTTGCCATTGTTTCCCCCGTCTGATGTTAGAAATGTCCTTGAGAATTTCACACTAAATAATAATGAGGAAGATAAAATCAAATGAGGAGGTTTACAATTTAATTTCATTGTGTGCAGCTACTTCATGCATTGCAAGGGTGTGATTTGGGATTTTTATTGTTCTCGAGCAATTCCAATTTTATAATTAAGTGAATAAATTGGTCACAGCAGCAAATCCATAAAAGTTACCACTGAAAGATATTTAGTGTGGATTGAATTGGCAATGAGACATTGCCATGCTGAGACTCGGGACACATAATCTGTCCATTTGAACTTTTCGCCTTTAAGGTATATGTTGTTCTCCAGTCCCTAAGAATGAAAACTGAAAAATTAATAAACTGTGAAATCTAATTTTTAGGGATATTAAACTGTCTTCTTTGTGCTTCTTGAAGCTATGTTGAAGAAGCCCGTGGTAACTGAAGTAAGGACGCCAACTAATACGTGGAGTGGACTTGGTTTCTCCAAATCGATGCCTGCAGAAACAATCAAGGAGCTTAGACGTGCAAACCATGTGTCCTACAAACCAACCATGCCAACAACATACGAGGTAATAAAAAAAATTATTTTCAGAACTTTCCGAATGGAGTCTGTTTGACAGCCACTGACTATAACTTTTGGTTTGGGGATCAATATTCAGCCTCCCAAGTGCAAAATATTGTCACATCCTAATGTTAAATACAAACCAAGATGCAATTGCTTTTTAGTAGGACTAAAAATTTATCAGGAAAATAAAGTTTGACAACAGGCCAAAAGTAACGATGCTTTTATTTTGAAAGTAGTGCTGTATCTATATCATATTTTATGTTTTACTTGGCAATAATGTCTGACTGAATACTCAAAACGAGAAGTGCTGAATTCTAAATATTATTATGTAGTTCCATACAATAAGGTTCTCACTATGTAAACAATGTCTAAATCCAGGAAAGAATGATGAATGCTCTACTCTGGGCAGTAACCCAAACACATGTTATCAATTACTCTCTTTATATGGGCTGTTACCAGATTTCTTTATAAATTTCTATCTTAAAGTTGTTTTTGAGGATAGCAAATGCATTCACTTCCAATTCACTGCACACTGATATGGTTTAATGGGAATACTTGTTTGTAATAATGATTCATTTGAAAGTTGGTTTATGCATAATACATTTAAAAGCAGTAAAAGGTCAAATTTACTCAATACCCTTTCAGCCTCCCTAAATATCAATTCTAATTCTTTTATCATGGAGGACAATTTCAGAGGTCAGTGTTCTGCACTGGACTCAAGAGGCTTCTTGAATAGGTTTAAAACCAGTGGATTGAAGAGTGGCTCATTTTGAAAAAATGATTTTTTGGTTGGATTTAAAACAAAAATAGACAACAAATGACTATGGTAAGGTTTAATGAGTGAGCTTGTCTTCTGAAGTGTGATCAGAATTGGAGATAAAACTTACAAAAGCCTTCGTGTTTGTGTGTATGTGGGTTAGAAAGGGGGGTGAAGGCTAAGGCGGATGCTTGAATGACAATAGTTGATTCATAAAGGTCATGCACTTAAGAGCTTAGCACAATTTAGATACTCACTCTCCCCCATCGGAAAATAAAGGGACATTTATTCTATTTAATGTTGATATTTCTCTGCAGTCATCATCACCCTTGTCGTTATCGCGGTCAAACAGCCGGGAATGTCTAGGCAGTGGCAGTGATTCTGAGAACTGGAGAGATCGAAATGGCTCAGGCTCGGGCCCTCATAGTGAATTCACAACGTCCATCACCAGCCCTAAAAGAAAAACTAAATCATGTAAGCATTTCTGGAATTATGATCACAACCTAAGAATTTCCTTTGATATTTGCTGTGATTTCAAGGGGAAATTGATAAATCTGCTTTTTATATTTATGATTTGGTTTTTAACTCTTTATCTCTCCTATTCAGTTCTTGTTTTTCTTTAGCAAAGTGAGGATTGTTGTGACTAAAATGTTTGTTGGTATATACAGCTCCAATTAAAAATTGATTGAATAGCACTGGAGATATTGGATAACATGAAAATTCCAAAAGTAAAATATTTTACAGGAATACAGTTGAACCCCATTAGAAAACACTTCATTATAACACAGATTCACTTATAATGGTGTAAACCCCAACATCGCTGCTGATGTCATTTCTGTTGGTGATGACCCACAAATCAGGCAAATTAAAAAAAGTTTGTCTTCTGGGTGTCCAAGTTGCCTCCAATGTAATTTCCTGTCTGCTGAGGATGCGAAGCACTCAGGATGTGATGGCTGCAGTGACCCAGTGACCTGGAATTCAGTCATTTGTTTAGCGCACAAAAAGCCTGACAGTGTTTTGAAGCATGCTGGCTTTTTGTGCACATGTGCACAGATTGCAGAGGCATTGAGCAACCATTGTGCCTTATTATAATGCTGGTTACAGGACTCCACTGTGTTATGATTAATCAAGAGAGTTAGCATTGGCACTCATAAAAATTCACATTCCTAGAACCAGTTCAGTACTTACATAACTGTTCAATTTTATGCCCCTTCTAGTGATCAAATTACTTGTTTCAACATGTTGCATGTTGGAATGTGGGATCTTGAGTAGATTAAAACAACCTGAATTCTTTATTCCACTTGGATTCATGCTAAAATATTTACCACAGTAAAATATGCTAAACTATAATTTCCTGTTTTTAGTTGAACTTAAGTATAGTACTTTTTCCCTGAGATTTTTGTGGATCTGCAATGAAAAACTGGAGCAAGGGAAATCTTATCCCGTTTATAACATCTTGAGTCATCTTATGTTTGTCACTTACATGTAATGTAATCTACCTCAGTATATCAATGACCACTGATACCTTTTTGCAGGAGTATTTTTTATGCTGTAGAAAAGGAATTCTCCATTAAGAGTAATTCCAGTAAAAACAAGCAAGTTTTCTCCATGGGATTTTCCCTAATTCATGTTAACTTCACTTCTCAGAGTTGCTTAAATATATTTGCAATGAATAGATTGTCAGTGAAGTGACTCAATACCGACTAATATATTTGTCTCTATTAATAAGATACATGATAGATTCCATTTTAAAAGTGCCTGGCTTAGATACAATTCTTCACTGTGTCAGCTCTCGGATTGTTTCGTAACCATGGAAATATGCACTCTCAGTGAAAGCATGTTTTTTCTTAGCAAATTTGAACTTTGTTAAAATGAATCAACAATTGAAGATGTTTGTGCTAGTGTAAGAGTCTGACAATGGTGGGTTAGGACAGACAAAGCAGGAAAGCTGCTCAGTGTGTCATTGAATTAAGACCAGTTTGATAATGGTTATGGTTTAGTTGATGCATGCATTGCTACATACAGCCACAGCCAAGTGGACACAAACTAGGTGCTCTTTGCACCACCGCAAGATTTAGTTTAACAAATAGTGGCTCACTTCAGGATTTGGTTCCAGCAATGACATAACAAATGCTTGTTTAAAATTCTGATGGTTCCCAAGATTTACATTGTGTTCAACAGGGAGTAACTAACCTGCAAAAGAGAATCACAAACAAGGCTGGCACTTGTTCTTGAATGACTTTGCTTTCTTCCCATTTTGCTTTGGTTAGTTAACTGCAGGTTCAGCTTCAGCAAAGACTTGGACGTCTGCAGTACCTTTGGAATCATTATCTTGTACACATAATGACATCACATGCTCTGCCATTGATTGAGGTCTGAATTACAGTGATTACTCACCAAATTCCTGAATGGTTGTCAATGACAAAAGGGAATTCAGCTCCAGATATCAATTGCACCTAAGCTATTGGTTGGTGTTATGCACTTTCAGTTACTGAAAAAATAATAATCAATAATAATCCTTACATTTGGTTTTCCGTCTTTCACATCAGGAGGACATCCTAAAGTGTTTCACAGAATATACTGTAAAATGGAGTTACTGTGTGTTTTGTGGGCAAACATGACAGCCAACATTATGCACAGCAATTTCCCACAAACAATCATGGGGTGAATGACCAATTATTTATTTGGGAGATTATTGGCCAGGATACCAGGAAAAACTCCCTTCTCTTTTCGAATAGTGCTATGGCATCTTCAACATCCACCTGAACAGACAGATGGGGTCTTGGGTTAATGGTCTTGTGTTGAACTGTATCTGTACAATTTTAGCATTGTAACATTGTAGTTTACTTCTACTGGACAGAGTTTAGCAACTAAAGGATGTGGACTTTAATGAGGTAAAAAAATAATATATTCTTGGTTTTCCCTCCCCAGCTGAACATTATCTGAGTAGCAGTAATTACATGGACTGCATCTTATCACTGACTGGTGGTAATGGGTGCAACCTGAACAGCTCTTTTAAATGTGATGATCTGCCTGAGCTCTTTAGCAAGCTTGGTTTGGGCAAATACACTGATGTTTTCCAACAACAAGAGGTTAGTCCAAGGACATTTAATCAGCTGATAACATTTGCAATTTATTCTGACTTCTATATATCACAGAATCATAGAATCTAATTGCACAGAAGGAGAACATTCGGCCCATCATGCCTGTGCCGGCTCTTTGAAAGAGCTATCCAACTAGTCCGCTCCCCCGCTCTTACCCCATAGGCCTGCAATTTTTTGTTTTCAAGTACAAATCCAATTCCCCTTTGAAAACTATTATCGAATCTTCTTCCACCACCCTTTCAGGCAGTGCATTCCAGATCGTAACAACTCTCTGGGTAAAATACTGTCTCCTCCCATTTGTTTCTTTTGGCAATTACCTTGAATCTATGTCCTCTGGTTACCGACCCACCCACCAGAGGAAACAGTTTCTCCCTATTTACTCTTATCAAAACCTCTCTCTCATCTCTCCACATAACCAAAGTCGCTCATCCCTGGTATCATTTCTAGTAAATCTCATTTGCACCCACTCCAAGGCCCTGACATCCTTCCTAAAGATGTTGTAAAAGATATTCTGGATAAAGCTTTAAATTGAAAACATAAATCCGCACAAACAGATAAAATCACACTGTAAGCAGTTCCTATCCTTATTGTATAGTTCTGTGAATTTTGGAAGAGAAATGACAAAATATACGTTCTTGCTTGCTTGCATTTCTTTGTTATCTTTGCCATTCACTTCAGAAGGACATCTCAAAGCATTTCACAGGATATATTGTGAAGTGTAGCAACTATTTTGTAGACAAATGTGGTAGCCAAATTGAGCACAGCAAATTGATGTTATATTGGTGTCGATGTTTTAGGAGCCAAATATAGGAGCTACACCAGTGCTGTTAAACTAGTCTTCTAGGAGCTATATCAAATGAAAGGATTGTCAACTCTAAAGCATTGGGAGCATTGTGCCCCAATGTAATGACTAATTAGTTATTTACTCTCCTACTGACTCTTTTCAGATTGATCTCCAGACGTTTCTCACACTCACAGATCAGGACTTGAAAGAACTTGGCATTACCACGTTTGGTGCCAGAAGGAAAATGATGCTTGCAATTTCTGGTGGGTGTTTCATCTCGTTTGCAGCTCTCAAAATGTGAAAGTGAATTCCCCTAAAAGAGAATGGAGAGACCAATCTTTACAACTTTCTAAATATTTAAGATTATTCAGATTTTAAAAAAAATACAAAACCTTTGTTAAGTGCATCATCATTTCTTTCTATTTTGTTGTGAAAGATGCCTAATTGAGAACCGAAGGGTGTTGCTTCCAGCTGTAATACATTCAGCATTGAAAGGAAGTAACAGCATGCTTTTCAGGTGTTTGTTTTTCTTTTTGGTCAGCCAGATGTCTGACACATGTGGAAACCCATCACTGTGCTTAAGAGAATCCATACCAGACTGAGAGTTCCACAAGTGCGTGCCGTGCCACCTTACCACTGAAATATATTCGTGGTCGGAATGGAATGCACACTCTCTCCCTGGAGCGACTCACCTTGCTTACCTAATTCTGTAGTGTTAGGTGCAGGTTGGCGAGAGTCCCAGAGTGTGTGTACAGCTCCAGCAGTTGGTCACATCAAGACCAAGTGCTAGAGTTTAACCAGCTAAAACCACATAGCTTGCCACTGAGAGCACTGCTTGTCCAGCGAGGACCATTCTACCCGTTAGAGCTTTGGAAACAATACTTGACCCCAATGACCTGTCTGCCCTTCCATATCCTTCCAACATGCCAGGCTGGCTGATCTGTCATTGGCAGTGTTTTGGAGTACTGTGGACCTGGCAGGAGCCAGACTACGTAGACCAGCAAAGAGAATTGACATGATTCTAACATTTTGTTGTCAAGCACGTTACCTTGGAGCCAGCTCAAAAGAAAAAAACACTTATCCCCCACCCCCCATCCTCTCGAGGATAGACATAAAATGAATATAATCAGCAGTCCTGAATTACAGTTGCCGCATTGCTTAGATTCATGTCAATAAATAGAAAACAAATGGTTTTCCTTTATTAAAAAAAATTTACCCTCACCCACCTCTGTCAAGAATCTTTTATCTATTCTCGGGCAAATCATTCAAATGTCTTATACTATTGGCGGCTAAGTCTGCCTGCAAATACAGACACTGCACATTATCGGAAATCCCGTGAAACATTTTGTTAAGGCGCTATATCAAGTGCTATTATTATTATTTATATAATATCAATAATTTATATTATTATGTAAGTAACATTCTTATTGGGGGCCATTGATGTCTCTTTTTACTTTGCTCCACTGTATTGAGCGGCTATTTTGTGATTGCATCAGGGCTGTATAAGAATACTGTCAAAACGTTCAGAGCTTAAAACGTTTGACCAGGTGTTGTCTTGTAATACTGTTTTACCAGGTTTCTACTGCTAATAACAATTAATGTGTTTCACAACCTGCCTAAAATAACTAAACACTCTGCATTCTGCCCCTCCAGAATTGAACAAAAATTGCTGCAAGCTGTTTGACCCACCAACCATTCGCTCAACATTTCTGGAAGGCGGGGCAAGCGGCAGGTTACCACGGCAGTACCACAGTGACATTGCCAGTATAAGTGGCCGTTGGTAGCAGGAAGCTGGAAGTTGTGTGTTTGCAATTATTGCAAGAGTCATCTGGCAAAAATGATACAAACTCTAATGCAATATTACCCTGCGGAGAGCATTTACTGCACAGACCTCGGTGGTTAGGAGTTTTGAATCCAAGGACCAAAGCCTGTTTTATTTTGCACAAGCCGTTGTGCCAAAAAAGGAGACATTGACCTATCAATGTGTATTCATTCCATGGTTATCTTTTGCCGTATCACCAAATATGGTACTACTTAACTATATGCAGATCAGAGAACAATAAGATCTTTAAGACTAGCTTTCTTGCTCAATATTATTTATTAGATAACAACAAAGTTAAATTATGCACTGAATTTTTAGATTCCACCATAGAAATTTAAAATGAACCACTAGCCAAAGTGCATTGTATGTATAGTTTAGAACGAGATGGTAAAATGCATTGTACTGCTGAGTAGAGAGATTTAAATGTAATTTCCTCTGCACTTTACATGTCCTGGTTTTCTAGACCTGTGGAAATGCATTTTTCTCTGGTCTTCATATAAAAAAGACCTATTTTATTCGCAGCACCAAGGAAATGAAATAATCATCTGCAGGTACTTGAGCAAAATTATGTCTTTATAGTGGTGTACTATGATGCTAATTATTATACAGTAAAGCTTGGTTCATCAATCATCTGACAACCAAGCAGGCATTCTATTCTTGCCCCACCACAAAATACTGAAATAGTACTTGTTTTGAGTGACTGACTAAAGTCCTCTTGTGTTTTACTGCCATCTTAAGCACATTTACTGTAGTGAAAATACTAGTTTTCTGTACAATCTCACAAAACCATTAAGTTTCTACGTTTGATGTGTATAACGGCAATACCAACAATTTCCTGTACAACAACTCTTAATATTTCTAATGACTCGCCCTATAAGTACAGTGTGCTGCAGCATCTCAATAGCTTAATATTACCGATGGGTATTAGTTGGGCATGGTACCAGTTTTTATTCTAACACACCTCTACAATGTAATGTGAAAACCTGTGATGAATGTCTGCTTTAAGAGACCTTCCTGTGCAAGTTTTACGTCTTAAATAGAGCAAAAATAATAGTAGTACAAGCAAACATTGGCAAAACTTGTATCCTCATTTTCCTAAATTGCAAAATTAAACTGAAAAACAATATATAGGTATGTGGGTGTACTTGACAGTGGAAAAAGTAGGAAACTGAAACAGATGACTTAAATATCCTGCACATATGTTTTGCTGGAAACCTGTGTGACAGTGAACTATAAAAGTTGTGATGGTTGCTTTATGAGGTGTTTTTTATTTGTAAATGTTTCTTTGCTGCTTACTACCATCTACAGTGTCCTTCAGCTTGGAGAGTGAACACTCTGGGTTGCACACTGAAGCATAACTGCCATTACTGATGCTATGGAGTTAGCTCGTGAAAGGTGCTATTCAAGATAGTTAAGTGAATGATGGTTCGTCCGTTCTTTTCTCTTTCCTCAAGCCAAGATATTGCCCTGCATCTGTGTGGCAGATTATCTAACAGCCTGGTTGAGAAAAGATACAGCTCCCACATCTGAGGCATGGAAGTCCATCACTTCTGCAATTGAGCCACTTGCTTGCTTGCTTGACGAACAACACCAGATTTATTTTTCTTTACTTTAGCAAAATTATTTGCAGAACTCTCAAGTGAAGTAAATCGTTCCATAAGGACAAGTTTCTACAAACATTAGTAGGTTATGTAAGTTGTCTGTTACGACTTTTCTTCTGTTCTCTCTCTGTGTAACTGGGAGTTTATTTCCTAGTGTTTTTGCACTGACATTTGTACCCACTTATGCTTTAACTGGCAACGTTATACAGTCCAGAAAAGCATGAAGAATTAAAATTACACGTTGTATATTTTATGTTGTTTTTATGATGGATTTATGAAGATTTGTCATTGATTTGAAGGAAATCTCAAAGTGCCTACCTTTTCTGCTATCCAATTATCTAGATTTCCACATCTGAATTGTCCTATTATTTAGGACATTTTATACAGGGAGAGATATGAAGTGTCTGTATTATATTTGCACAAAAGGTATACACTTTGTTTGTAGCCGTTAAACCACTATGAATAGTGCTGAGTAAACTGGTTTTTGGTGATCGCCTTCTTGATAGCTTGAGCAAAGTTAGACATGTAAAGAATATGTCTTGCTACATATTGTTTACCACTTCGTTGACACCTATACAATTGGTTGGTATAGTAAATAATTGTTGGCTTAATCAAAAAGAGATTTGCACATTCAAAGGGAAGAGATTATTGTGTCACTTATTAAATGTGGTTTGCGATTATATTTTCCCCATAATTATTAGCAACCAAGAGGAAATCCATTGTTGTTAGCCCCTCTTTAAAGTTAAATTCTCTAAAAACATCTATAGATGTATACCAAAGTGAAGGATGTTCAAATAATAGAACTAAACTGAAACAATATTTTGTACAAAACACTGGAAGAACACTCAGTTCCTTGCTGCAGTGTAAGGGGGTACCAGACTAATCATGTTTATACTAGCCATAATGGTAACAAATGATGATGACCTAAAATATGCACAGAGCAGTTTTGTCATCGACCAAAACTGAAGGTTACCTATAATTCAGTACCAATAAGGCACTATAATTCAGTGCCTTCAGTGGTCATTTATCTGTAAATAAAGCACAGATGTCTATTTTCAGTGTGGAGGTTTCTACCTTTTATGACCTTCAGAGAAAAATATTACTGTGGATAAACTTTAACAAAGGGAATATTCAATGCAGTTTTATGTTACATTAAAAATAATTTTATAAAACTTCCTCTATAGTCTATTATGTAAATGTACCCAATATATTGTACCTCTGCAAAGCTTTAAAAGTACCTTTTGTTTTGGGGGAAACCCATGACGCCAGATTTCCTCCCTTGACTCTGAAGAGTCGCCTGAGACTTTGGCTATGAAAAACACCTTTGTTTGACATCTTATTGCATAGCTTATATTGTGTAAGCAGTGAATATTATCTTGTGACTATTGAATAGCCAAGCAATAAAGTTTTAGATAAAGAAAAATGTGTTGACAGTGAGATTTTAAAAAGGTTTATTTTACAATTCCAATATCTGGTAAATAAGCAATCAATATCCCTAATGTGTTTTCAGAAAATTAATTGGTCAATTTCTTGCCCAGGTTATGTAATTTTATTAATTTGATTTGTATAAAAGTATAGTTGAAATTGTAGGAAATATATTTTAACTTTGCATAATGTAGGTGAGATGGGTATCTACCGCTTTGGGATAATTATATTTGTTCAAATGTATTTTATTTTAAATCTTTTCACTTTACATTATAATATCCTGCTTTTACTGAGTTTCTTTAGTCTGATTATTGCCACCAAAGATTGTGTCTATCTGGCTATTTCTGTAAATAACTAAAGAATATCAAATACCATATGTAATTGAATTCGAGAAAGACAAACTATATGTCTTCAGAAAAGACTAATTTTGGAGTATTCATTCTCTCCTATTGGTAGCTTTGAAAGTATTTATACTGGTAACAAAAGATTTGCTACTGTCTTCAACCCTTGGATTAGGAGTGTTAGTTATGTTAATCACATGATAATATCCCTTACATTTGCTGTATGGCCTTCATGTCGGGAGGATGTCCCAAAGTGCTTGACAGGATTTACTGCAAACTGCAGTTATTTTGTATGTTGTGGGCAATTTGCGCACAGCAATCTGTCCCACAAAACAGCCATGAAGCGAATGACCAATTTTGAAACTCCCTTCTCTTTTATGATAATGGAATCCTTAACATCCATCTCAACAGACGGACACGGCCTTGGTTTAACATCTCATTCGAAGGATGGCACTTACAACACTGCAACACACTGCCAGCACTGCATTAGAGTGTCAGCTTAGACTATATGAGTTCTAACTCTCAATGTGGGCCTTGAACCTCACCGACAAAACTCAGGGGTTCGAGTCAGTGGAAAATATTTGACCTATTATCAATTGTATTCACAAAATTAGATACAAGCACATCTGTCTTGTTTTTTTGTGAAGTACAGTACTTCTCCAATCACAGCTGTTGCATATAAAATAAACATATGTCAAAGGTGTTTGAAACACATCAATCAATTAAAATAAACAGCTCTGCGAAACCTAGCATTGTCCATGGGACATTACAAGACTGATTCCGGGATGGAGTGCCTATCTTAATAGGCAGGAAAAATGCAGAATATTTTGGAAAAGGGTAAGTAAAAGATGAGCATCATGCAGCTATACTGGGACTAATTTAAAGAAAAGAAATGCAAATCCTTCACTGTAATTGAAATGTGAAGTAATTAGCCCAAAAGGATTAAAAAAGGACAAAACAGCCTGTTTCTAGGAACAATCTTCAATTTATAAAATGTATATTTTTTCAGACGTTCCAAAGAAAAGGTGTAGTACTGGTTTTCTGATGTTGAATGCAAATATTATTATATTATTTATTTTTATTTTATACTTAGTAATAGTTTACAGTACAGAAGGAGGCCATTCGGCCCATTTTTTGTGGTGTTGTTTGCTTTCCCACTGGAGCTATCTACTGTACATTCTTGTGCACTTTTCCCACAGCCTTTAACATTAATTTTTTATCACATAGTTATCCAGTTTGTTTTTAAATGCTATTTAGGGACTCAGCTTCAGTGCTTGTTTGTTGTGATGCATTCCATATTCTAACAATCCTGTGTGTTTGTATGTGTCTGTTTAAAAAATTGTTTAAGCTTTTTTTCTTTTATTTGCTATTTCAAATGCAAGGATTTGATAATATTAATCCTCAATTGATGCTTTCCTTTAACTGACTCAGTGATTATCAGTAACTTCACCTTAGTCACAGAAGTGCAATCTGTAACTCATTCCTACCGAAAGCTTAACTGGTTAAGCCTGGTATTAGAAATTGATTTGATTGCTTTCCTGCAGTTAGTCTGTCTGGGAATAGAATAGTTTGAGCTGACCTTGTAGTTGCACTTCTGAAGAGCTGCTGATCAGATTGCTTTAGTTTGGGGATTTTATATGAAGATAGACTTACCTGTCCTTTCACACTTGACTGACCTTCTTCATCTGTGATAGAATTTCAGCATTTTGGCCAATGTTGTAACATATTTTTCATCAAACCAGGGATGCGAGGTGATTCCAGTGGTAACTGCTTCAATGAGGTATAACGACACTCTAATTTACTTTCTCGTTGATCTTCAGCCCAGTCTAATTAGACCTTTCCTGTTTGGCACAATAGCTTCAACATGTAAATTACACATTGATGTCTGACAGTGGGATTAGAATATGATTTATGTAAACCATCTGGTCAGACCGACAATGGAAAAAGTACAAATTTGATTAAAACAGATGACGTTGCTACAGCTACAGCTCATCATATATTTGCTAGAACTTGTAATTTCAATAATTTCTAGTATTAGGTGTCTTAATTTAGCAGGCAGTGCATCGCTAGTCTATGAACTCACTGAACTGTAATTGGCATTAATCCAAAGTGTCAAATGCACCACTGTGGGTGGTTCATGACCTCTACTATATCAGAATTATATATATTTTTTAAAATGATAATTTGTGGGCTCATGCAATACTTTCAGCTGGTTTAAAGCATTTAGTTGGAACTGGAAAAAACATTATCACTTTAGCAAATCACTTGAGCAATAAAACCCTGTTTTTATCTTGCCTTGAATTTTCTGGGAATCATCAGTATTTTAAAACAGGAAGTATAGTTCATTGGCATCTCATTTTTTCATAGTCAATGTATTATTCCTACATATGGAATTTAATTTATTTCTTAACAAGCCCATGTGACGATACACCACTTAAAAACTGCTAATTACCATGTATTTAAAAAAAAGAAATTAGCAAGGAGAATGAATATCATTGATGCCATTCAATGGTTACTCATATGTCTGAAATTGATCTACTACGATTAAGTTGTCATTTTAATCTAGTTCAAGTCACAGAACCCAAGCCTGAAATCATTAAGCTCAATTCTCCTGGCCTGCTTGTAAATCTAAAGCCCTGCAGAACAATCTGATTTTCCATCAATAGGTTTCTCAAAATCAACACCTTGATGGAAACTGAAAGAAGAAAAACAAAGGAGTTAATTCGATTGCAGGAATAATTATTTTTGATAAATAAATAGATGTATTGACACTAATAAGTGTTATAAGTAGAACATCACACAATTGCTACACTTTCAAAAAAGGTTGACTAAATGTCTAAGGCCTAGTACTACAGTATGTACAATATCATAAAGCAACACATTTATGTGTGGCAACCTATTTATTTAAATATTAACAAATAGGATACAATTCAATATTGCCTGGCCTAAAGAAACCACAGAACACCGAAATCTATCACTTATTTAAGTGGGGTGTCACTATTTGAAACTTCAGTGTGAGTGTTTGACCATTGTTTTATTCTTTTCTTCACTGTATATGGAATTGAGCTCAATGTATTTTACTAACCTATTCAATTTCTGTGTCTGCCTCAACCATAGATAGAATTCCATCCAAGCATGATAGCAAGACTAGGACAGTTAGCAAGACTAGGTTCCTATTTTTACCTAAATTCCTGCCTCATGCTGTTATTATTGATTATACCCTCACCACAGTAGTGTAATAATTTTCACCCAATTCAGAGTATGGGTTTCAAAATCTGCTCTTTTTTTAAAAAAAACTTTGGATACCTATTATCCAGGGACAATAGTAAATTCCTACAATTTTTTTTAAAAACCCAGGAATGCTCCACTATATTACTTATATCTTTGTTCCAGAACATTAAATCATTATTCTTACTATTATTACTGTTCAGTATGCATGGTAGAACGCAATAGAATTGGATAACAAGGCACTGAAGTTCATGGAGTTTGTGTACATTTTATATTGTATTATACTGTAATACTTTATGTTGTATGAAGTAATACTCGTTTCCTATTTATCCTGTAAACCTAGATAATCAGTTCTTCAACTTCAGCATGGGTAAAGAAAGTTAAGGGAAAAAGCATGTTTACTAAATAGGCAGTTAAAAGATTATGTTAAGATCTTGTCAGTCATTTAAAATGGAAGTACTTGGGTTTAATACCTTAAGCAGTTGAATGTTTAGCTGTCCACCAGAAAGCTGCAAGTTTCAGGGCCACTCATCGGTCCAGTTCAGTTGCCTCTGTTGAGTGAGTCAGCTACTCAGCAATTCAGATCCCACATATCTATAAAACTGCCCCTCTTGACTATAGAGCTGCATCAACAGAAGACGTATTTTTTTTTATGTAAATGTACATGGTTTAGATTGCCTCCCACCAACATGGGGCAACAGAACAGAAGTCGAAAAAAGTAAGGTTTTTTTTTAATTGTTTAAAAGAAATACATTCATATTTAGTGCTTAAAACCTCTTTTGACAAGGAATTGAAGTTTAAGTATGTGGTAAAAGCACAAAGGGTTTTAAAAACATCTTATTGTTAATGAAACATTTGCAAGAATTGAGATCTTGAAATACTCCTCCAACCAAGCATTATAACTAGTCTACTGCTTGACTGTACACAAGCACAAAGGCACCATTGTTTTACTTCGCTCCTGTACAGTGCCATAACCTTCTAATATTCTGCCCAACGGCAAACTGAGCACCTGTTAGCACACTGCAGTAATTTCCGATTCTAAATGTTCAAAGGTTCATTAAACAGTTGGGAGAATCTAGTTTGTTTTCTTTTAGACATTAGGAACATGGTCTATACTAGTCCAAGCTGGCAATTCATACTGAACTTTCTACCACACATCCGTTCCCTGACCAGGACCTCTTTTTTCCATCTCCACCATACACAAAATTCAATTAACTCAAAACTCTGCCTGGATACTCACCCACACAAAACTCTGTACCCCCTTGCCAGGCTACACTGGCTCCCAATTACTGAACAAATGGATTTCAAGATCCTCTCATTCGTTTTCAAATCCCTTCATGCCCTCCCTACCTATCCGATCTGCTTACACCCCACTCCACCACCCGCTGCCTCCACTCAGCCAGCTCCGGCCTCCTGTCTGTTCCTCGCCCCCTCCACTTCACCATCAGTGGCCATGCCTTTAACCACTATGGCCCGAAATTCTGGAACTTTCTCCCCAATCCCTCTGCCTTTCCCCCTCCCTCCCCTCTTTCAAATGCCGCTAAAGACCATCCTTTGTAATCATGCTTACAGTCACTTGCTCCCTCCCTCTCCCCCTGGCTCGGTGTCAGACTCTGCCACTGTCAAGCTCTCCAAGATGCTACCCCTCATGAAGGGCATTATATAAATGAAAGTTATTGTTGTTGAACTAAGCCAAGGTTAGAATTT